CACGACAGTTCTGCATTTCGCGACGACAAAAAACAAGAAGTCACAAGCGAACCAACTTGAGAAGTCACAAGCGAACCCCGGGAGAAGTCACAAGCGAACCCTCTACCGCTGCGCGCCATCACAATCGTCCTCTTGGGTAAACGCTGAAGAGATGCGGCCCTCTTCCTCATTTCGCCACTCATTGAGACCTGACGTTCTGAATCTGAAGCCCTGTATGAGCTCTGACAATGAGCTCTGTGAGACGAAAGCTGCTGAGAGTTCAGGACTTTAGCTCCTCTTCTTCCTTGCAGGCAAAACAATTTCGAGTGATTGTTGGCTGTCTGGGTGTCCTCGGGCAAAGCCAGCGCTTCCTTCTGCCGATTGAAGTAAGGTCTCAAGACCCATTCCACCTGTTGCTGCACACAACTGCCCCAAGGTGCACATACAGCCATTGCGGGCCTCCACATCCTTCATGTCCACAGTGCCCAACTCGACACGAAAGAGCCTGTGCCATGTTAGCTGGTTCGCCACGCTGTCTTCTAATGTTTTGCCAATTCTTGCAGCTCTAGCGCCTCATGTTAAACCGAGGGCCGTTCTCTGTTAGAGCCACGTCCTTCGCCTGGGCCAACCGCACTCTGGCCCCTTCGGCCCATAAGCCAATGATCTTTTTAGGTAGCTCACGCGGGAACGGTGGCCATCGCCGGCCGGCCCCTTGGGCCTTGCATCGAGTGCTCACGGTCTGCCACGCAGCCAACTCACTGCTCACAACGTATGCCTGGCAAAGCTGTGGTGCCGGAAGTGGATCACGTCGTGGTCTGCGAGAAGCAAGTGGCACAGGGCCCACAAAGAGCAAGAAAAGACATGCAGCCATGGTGCGGTTGGCGAAGGTCATGACTCTGTCCCCCGCTTGCTTCGCAGGCGGGAAGAGCGCCTTTTTGAATCGCCGGAAGCGAGGAGTTCCTGTTTTCCCGCAGCTGCTGGCCTGGAGGATGTTCTTCACCCGTAGCCCCATCTTTGCGGTGAAGCCATGGAAGAGCAGGTGGGGGCTGGCCTTGCGCCCATAGCACGAAACTCTGCGCGGACATTCTCCAATGATCAAGGCTCGAATGAAGAGATTTTGGCACCTCGGACATGGCGGGAGGCTTGTCGGCCAGATCGTGCCGTAGCACCACATTCGACAGGCCTTTGCATCCACTTCGCCCATGGAAAAAAAATCAGGATATGGTACGGTATAGTACGGTACACGGATTGTGTTGGGAAGGCCGGGGCCGAAGTAGGCGGTGGGCCCGAAAGGCAAGTGGCAAACAACCATGCCATCCGGTTCGCCCCGGTGCTCGTGCACCAGGATGACCTTTCGTGCAGGCACATGACGTGTCAGAGCTCCCCACAAGCTTGGCAAGCACACTGGGCTGCTAACATCAGTCATCTCATGTGATCTTGCTAGCTGCATCAGGTCCTTGACGACATAGCTGCCACGGTTCATCCTCTGAGCACCCGGGAACCTTGCCGTGATGCTTCTGCAAAGGGACTCAGCACCCCTGCAGTAGCAGCTTTCCAAATACAGTACAGCGACATCCCAAAAAAGTAGCACAACAAGGAGCTTCCATTGAACAAGATCTGTTTACGGTCAGCGACTCTGTTAACGGCAGCTTGCCCATTAAGCAAAACGGCAAAGTAGGAGCATGACGTACTTTCCACAGAGCTGGCATATGCTCAACCTCTCTATCACATGCTGATAAACTTCTAACTACGGTTTAATATGAACAATCTTTGACGGAACTCTACCAGCAAACTCACCCGGACAAAAAAACGAGCCCACGCTTGCAAGGGTCTACTGAGTCTACTGGACTGTAAATAGCTCTGCTCAGTATTAAGTCTGTTTCACATCCTTTGCTGACAAGATGCAACATCCGGAGCTCCTTGAGGAACTGACTCAGGCGTGAGGACGGATCCCGAGATGTTGTGACCAGCACCTTCCAATGCTCAAGATCTTACAACGCAGGATGATTCAGCAATCCATGGCTACCATCTACTGCAAAGTAAACAGCTGTATCTGGCACGGTGTTACTTGGGTCTTTCACAGCGAGCCCTGAACCTTGGGATCCTTGACGCCCATGTAGGCGTACTCGTCGTCCATGGCCTTGCGCTGCTCCTTTGTTCGATCATCTGCGAGGTCCAGTACCTGCCACGCGGCAACATGTTGCAACACAACACACACGCAGCGCTCAACTGAGCCCTCGCTTTTCAACTTCCTGTCCTTGCGCAGCTTCCGGTCTTCTCCTCGAAGCTCTGTGGGAATGGGCTTGTTGCTGTCCAAGGCCTTGCCGGAAATGCCACGACCCCTGCCTCTAACCAATGCCCAGCTCACCGCTAGGCCCCTTGTGGGGCCTCCTGAAGTTTCCGCTTCTTGTCGAAGGTGGTGGCTTCCTTGTCTTCCAAGGCCTGGTGCAAGAGCTCCCGCTGCACCGCATCACACACCGCATGACTGCTTGGCCTTCTTGTAGAGATACTCTTTTCGAAGCCGCGCATTGCGGCGCAGCATAGCTACATGGATGTACAAAGGGAATGCCTCTTGTCTAGCAGTGTTGCAGCTGCATCAACCTGATTGCGGGTAGCAACTCTTCGAGAGCTGCAGCGCTCTGCATGTCTCGATTGGCATGAAGCTCTGCGCAGACGCGCGGCTGGAGCCAGGATTGACAAAGCCATAAGATGCCATGGGGCATAAGAAGCAGCGGTGGCAACGCTCATCTTGTGACTGTGATCTCCAGCCTTTTGAGTCAAGCAGTTGGCAGCTCCCACTGAGACGTTCCGGTGCCTGCAAAGACGTCGTTTTTCGCAAGTGAAGAGATGTTCATAGGGGCCCGGCTGCTGTGGTAGTAGAAGATATGTCCCTGTGGGGTTGAGTACGCCACCCAACCCGGTGGGAGCTGTGGCCACTGAGACCTTAGCACCGTCAAGACTTGCGAGCTTGGACAAACAAGGTTGGATGGAGAATGCAGAAAAGCAACGTGTCACTCATGTCTTCATTCTGCTGCCCTTGCGCCGACTCCTGCACCTGCTGTTGCTCCAACTGTTGCCGTGACTGATGCTGTGACTGCTGGTGCTGCGCTTGCTCCTGCGCCTGCTGCTGCTCCAATTGTTGGCGTGCCCGTTGCTGTTCCAGCTGTTGCTGCACCTGCCGGTAGCACACTTGCTCCTGGACCTGTTGCTGCGCCTTTTGCTGCTCCAACTGTTGCTGCGCGCGTTGCTGCTCCAACTGTTGCTGCGCCTGTTGCCCCTCCAGCTGCTGCTGCGCCTGCTGGTGCTGCGCCTGCTGGTAGCGCGCTTGCTCCTGCGCCTGTTGCTGCTCCAACTGTAACTGCGCCTTTTGCTGTTCCAACTGTTGCGCGCGTTGCTGTTCCAACTGTTGCTGCGCCTGTTGCCCCTCCAGCTGCTGCTGCACCTGCTGGTGCTGCGCCTGCTGGTAGCGCGCTTGCTCCTGCGCCTGTTGCTGCTCCAACTGTAACTGCGCCTTTTGCTGCTCCAACTGTTGCGCGCGTTGCTGTTCCAACTGTTGCTGCGCCTGTTGCCCCTCCAGCTGCTGCTGCACCTGCTGGTGCTGCGCCTGCTGGTAGCGCGCTTGCTCCGGCGCCTGCTGCGCGCGTTGCTGTTCCAACTGTTGCTGCGCCTGTTGCCCCTCCAGCTGTTGCTGCACTTGCTGGTGCTGCGCTAGCTCCGGTGCCTGTTGCTGCTCCAGCTGCTTGTCTAGCTTCATTTCTGGTGTGTGCCACCGTGCTGCCTGTTTTGCGTGCTGCGCAAAGTGCTGCACTTCCACCTCCTGTCCTTGCTGCTGGCCATGATGTTGCACTTGTTGTGGCTCTTCGCATGCTGGTTGGTCTACTCGGGACCCTTCCAGTGTTTGGGGTGCCTGCAGTCGGTCACATTGCCATGCTTCAAATCCTTGTGTTTCTTTTTGCGTCTGCTTCTGCTCTTCTGCCGCATGTGGTTGCATCTCGGGGGTCTGCATTTCTAGTCGCTGCTCAAGCTGCGTGGCTTCGGGTTGATGCAGTGGTTGCATCTGCCCCATCTGCGTTTGCTGCCGGTGCTCCAGCGCAACTTCCTTGACATCAATTTGCTGGTCTCAAAGCATGTCGCAAAATCACACTCCATCATTTGTGGCAGCTGTCACTCGCCTGCGGAACTTGAGGGGCAGCGCTGCCTGAAGCAGAGGCAAGATGAGGTCAGTGGCCAGCAGATGCGCGTCAGATCGCCGCCTTGCGGAGCCTGCGGAGCTGCATCTCCTTCAGGCCTGACCGCGTTCAGTTCCACAGCGCTTTCCTTTGTGCATTCTCGAGGCGCGAGCTTGAGCGAGTGTGTGTCAGAGTCACCTGTGCAAGTAACATGAAACTGAAGAAAGCCTAACCTAACCGCTAACCGATCTAACCACGGAAGCCCCCCACCTACAGCTGGTGTGCATGTCCCGTGTAGCATCCGATCACCGTCAACCACAGCATCAACCTGCCATGGCCCAAGCTCAAGCCCAAGCTCTCACTGCCATCAAAGGTGGTCATTCTCTGTACATTGTAGAACATTTCATTTTGGAGCTGCCGAAAGTATGCACGGCAGCGCTGGCTTCCTCCTCGAGCAACCACAGCGATGTGCTGCTGGCTGCTGGCTCACGCTCTCCATGACACAATTTTGGCAGGGCCTTCGGCCACCGCAAATGGAAGCCGGTACTTCGTCTTGGAGAAGGTCGCGCTCAGCCCAGTCTCCGGCCTTGTAGAACGCGAAGGCCGAGACGGCGGCCGAGACACCAGGAGTTCTGCTCTCGGCTGCCACTCTGAAGTTGAAGACGGTCAGGTCGTTTGGCACAGCAACCGTCTCCACAAGGATCGCGAAGTACGTGCCGTTGTGTGACAGCCAGCTGATCTAGTCGGGCGATGCCTCCGAAACAATGCTCTTGGCTGGAAACGCGATGTAAGCATGAATGGCCTGGTGCCCTACACCATTAGACTGGAGAGGTTCAGCATTAGAACTCTGCTCGAAACAGGAAAGCTGGTTTGCCTTGGCCTTCCCTCTGATGCAAGATGCCGAGCGCTGCGCGAACGGCCGCAGGGAGTAAGTCATTCCGGTTGGCCCCCAAACCAAATCTCGTGCATCGAGGGCAGCATCGGTAGCATTGAAAGTAGGCACAGCCTGGACTTGGCAGTCCTCCACCTGCCGCAAACAGCCACCAACATCTACATACTTCACTTGTTCATAGGTCACTTGTTTTTTTTAACGACATGCGTCCTCACTTGGTGAAGCTATGAACAGGCGCCTGCTGGCACATTGTGCCGCAGCGAAGACAAGCTCGGCCAAGTAGGCGCTTAGCGCACGATCTGCAGAAGAGGTGGTCGCATGGCTTCAGCCGCGCACGGCGGTGGCTGCCATCCCTGCAAACAGGGCAGCGGCTGGGTGGCCGTGAGCGGGGCGAAACGGAGAACTCAGATGTGCGGAGTTCGCCGCCCTGGCGTTGGTGCTGGGCACTCTCAACCCAAGCCACTCGGAGTCGGATTGCGAAGCCCCAAGCGCCAAACTTCCGGCGTGCTACAGGAACCGGCCTCAACACGTCCCTGTCATCGACATGTTCTTGCGATTTCTTGCGACTCTGAGCTAAGGCACGGGCTTTGTGCTGCACATCTCTGGCCAGGGACCGTCACTTGGAGGCGCCGATCCAGGCTCCTTCTGCCAACCCAACGACCCGCCATGCCACCACTCCTGCCGTTTGCTCCTACCCACAACGTTGCGCAACCTTGTTGCTGAAAGCTTGCCGGTGGCACCACGCTGGCAAAAGCCATCTGCTCAACCTGCGCAGCGAAGCTCCGCAGCAAAGCATCACCTGCTCGGCAGAAGGATTCTCCGGTCAGCTCCAAGGCGTCTGCCTTCAGCCCCTTCAGCCCCTTCAGCCTGCATCACGGCCCAGTCCAAAGATGTCACCCGAGGCCCACTCCACGCTCCTGTCAAGTGCACGGGCTTGTCAAGGCAACAGGAGCTTCCTGGCAGGCGGCCTGTTGCCCGATGTTTCCGCATCTGAGCAATGCTCTTGGAGGTCCAGGGCCCATGTTTGGGCAGTTTTCCGGGCTTGTGCCAAGACGTCCACTTGTGGTGACCTCACTGTCACCTCAGCTGGAAAGGCCATGAAACTTAAAAATAGATACACATATTATTTACCACTTGGGAAACTTCGACTGTCTGCCCCGGCCTCACTATGCCTGCGGCCTCGGGCACCCTCTCGCGGCGCAGGAACAAAACTCCGGGACCCTGAGCGAAGAGGCACCTCGCCAATCTGAAAGCCGGTGGCCTGAACACGCAGAGTTGAATGGACAAGGTATACGGGGCACTGCCAAGGCTCTGGCAAGCGAGGAGCCCCAGCAGTCTGGACCTATCATACCGAAGGATTCTGCGACTCGGTTGATTGTTGAACCCTCTTGCACTGCCACGCACTCCCATGCACTGCCTGCATGAAGAACTTCCGAAGGCGCCCTCGGCTTTGGCTGGCGTGGACCTGGCACGTGTTGCCTTGTAACGACATCCCTAAACCGTTCCCTTCCCAAGAAGCCTAAGCCTAAGGAATTCGCTGAAACTTGCCCAGGGCAACTTGACAAGTCCAGAAGTACCGGGGCAGGACGCTCGGCTTGCGAAATGGAGGAACGCTGAGCCTTGACCTTCGCAAACATTTACGGGCTTCATGGTGAAGACGCGAAGACCTGCTGACCATGCTGAGCTGCTTGCAGCACTGGAAGCAGCCTCAGCTTCGGCTGCGGCCACAGCCGCCCCTGTTCAACACGAAATGGATGCCGCTGGAAATCTGTCATGATGCAAGTCTCACCTTGCAGCATGAACCCACGCGGCTGCGGACTTAATACAAGACAAAAACACCATAATTCACCGCCCTCCTCCCTGCTGAGGGACTTTAGCTTATCTGCGTCATTCCTCTGTTATGTAATTCTTCTGGCGATCATTGAAACACTTGTCTGATCTCAGAGGTCCCACCTGCCGCTGCCTTCCTGGCAGCAGCCGCCGACGCAGCCGCTGGTGACCCAGCTGGCGAAGCCGGGCTGGCTTGAACCTCACACCAACAAAAACTCTTACTTCCGCAACAGTTGCCACAGGATGATGGATCATCGGATGTTTAAGGTCTCGACAAGAGAAGAAAATAGCTCCGGAATTGCATCATGCACGTTTCTGGCTGGCGAGCCTTTAATGCCGCGACCCTTGCCCTTCCTGTGTGTGCGCTCGCTGTCCTGTAGCTCTGGCACCTCCCGCCACAAGCGTTGAATGGCCTGCTCGGAATCCAGGCAAAGCCGTCGAAGCTCAGCCATCTCCCTCCCTTCAAGTCCAGTGGCTAGAATTCCGAGACAGACGGAGGCCACTGACTCCACCTCCTCCGGGTCACACGAAACCAGTACTGCACTTGCTCCTGTGGCTCTTCGTGCCCGCATATGCTTCTGTATCAGGCTGGCTGTAGATTGACATCGCTGCTTCTCCGGCATACCTTCAAGCCTCGAAGGTTGCAGTGCCAGGCGATCAAAATCCAACTCGCCATATGCGGCCCCCAACAGTCCAAAGATCTCAACGAAGTGAAGCAATCCTTCTTGCTCCAAGACATACGCGCACGCTCCAAGCATGCCCTTCGTCAGAACGATGATCTGCACCTGATGTACAAATGCTCTTCACTTGGAGCGACAAAGGATGCTTATTCCGAAATGGACGCGCCTCGGCTGCATGCAGTTCCATAAAGAGCAACTGGAGGCACCGTACGCGCTCGCCCCCTGTGCAGGCAAAGCTACAGTGAAGCCTCCTAGCAGTTTTAGCACTCCCCTGCCGCCACCACCAGCATCACAAGGCTGAAAGAACAAAGGATGAACTGTAGCACAACAACTCGGGATGCAACACAGAAGAGACCAAAGAGGAACAACACGCAAATCCAGCAAAATGCGTACTCTGTTGCGCTGGTTGTGCTGGCACAGCTTAACACGAGGAAGTTTAGGATTACATCCTTCAATATCCTTCAATCTAGAATTCAGAAGCTTGAAATGAACACCCCGCGTTCTTGGTCAGCTTGCAGCATAATCCGGAACCAAGATGAACCTGACCAACAAAACCCTGACAGAAACGCTTTTGGCAGTGGCTTTGTGATCCTGCTTTATTCTGCCACCATCTACTTGCAGTGCCATATTAGAATTCCTGCCTCCCAAGGCTCGTGCTGTCCAGGAAGCGCCAAAAGAGGGGCTCGCCGCATTCAACATCTTCAGCCTGTGGATCTGGCCTCGCTCGGACAAGGCATGCGGAGGGTCCACGCCTGGCTCCCAGCCAGCCAGTTGCTTGAAGACGTGAACAACGCAAATGGTCTGGTCGAAGTCCAAGTAGACGTGCTTAACATTTGAGATCGAGATTGAAGACGTTGAGGCTGCCTCTTCCGAGACAGCCTCACAATCTGGGCCCTCCGAGCCCTCTGGCATCTTCATCTTGTTGACCTGCTGCGGGTGGGCTTCGAGCGCCCACTGACTTTTGCAATCCTTGACCGATCCCTCTTTGCAGGCCCTGTTCGAATTGGCAGACTCCGCTCCAGTTGAAATCAACGCCAGCCGCCTCAGCTCTTCCATTTCTCCCTCCG